AATGAATTCGAAGAGACACTAAAGGACTACAAAGAGACACCAAAGGACTACAAAGAGACACTAAAGGACTACAAAGAGACACAAAAGGACTACGAAGAGACACAAAAGGACTACAAAGAGACACTAAATGAATTCAAAGAGACACTAAAGGACTACAAAGAGACACCAAAGGACTACAAAGAGACACTAAATGAATTCAAAGAGACACTAAAGGACTACAAAGACACACAAAACGACTACAAGGAGACACCAAATGACTACAAAGAGACACTAAAGGACTACAAAGAGACACTAAATTAATTAAAAGAGACACTAAAGGACTACAAAGAGACACTAAAGGACTACAAAGAGACACATAATGACTACAAAGAGACACTAAATGAATTCCAAGAGACACTAAAGGACTACAAAGAGACACTAAAGGACTACAAAGAGACACTAAAGGACTACAAAGAGACACTAAATGAATTCCAAGAGACACTAAAGGACTACAAAGAGACACCAAAGGACTGCAAATAGACACTAAAGGACTACAAAGAGACACAAAACGACTACAAAGAGACACAAAAGGACTACGAAGAGACACAAAATGAATTCAAAGAGACACCAAAGGACTACAAAGAGACACAAAAGGACTACAAATAGACACTAAATGAATTCAAAGAGACACTAAAGGACTACAAAGAGACACCAAAGGACTACAAAGAGACACAAAACGACTACAAAGAGACACCAAAGGACTACAAAGAGACACTAAAGGACTACAAAGAGACACTAAATGAATTCAAAGAGACACTAAAGGACTACAAAGACACACAAAACGACTACAAAGAGACACCAAAGGACTACAAAGAGACACAAAAAGGACTACAAATAGACACTAAATGAATTCAAAGAGACACTAAAGGACTACAAAGAGACACCAAAGGACTGCAAAGAGACACAAAACGACTACAAAGAGACACTAAAGGACTACGAAGAGACACTAAAGGACTACAAAGAGACACTAAATGAATTCAAAGGGACACTAAAGGACTACAAAGAGACACTAAAGGACTACAAAGAGACACTAAAGGACTACAAAGAGACACAAAACGACTACAAAGAGACACCAAAGGACTACAAAGAGACAATAAATGAATTCAAAGAGACACTAAATGAATTCCAAGAGACACTAAATGAATTCCAAGAGACACTAAAGGACTGCAAAGAGACACAAAACGACTACAAAGAGACACAAAAGGACTACGAAGAGACACAAAAGGACTACAAATAGACACTAAATGAATTCAAAGAGACACTAAAGGACTACAAAGAGACACAAAAGGACTACAAAGAGACACAAAATGACTACAAAGAGACACCAAAGGACTGCAAAGAGACACAAAACGACTACGAAGAGACACAAAATGACTACAAAGAAACACAAAACGACTACAAAGAGACACAAAAGGACTACAAAGAGACACAAAAGGACTACAAAGAGACACAAAACGACTACAAAGAGACACAAAAGGACTACAAAGAGACACAAAACGACTACAAAGATACACCAAAGGACTACAAAGAGACACAAAAGGATTACAAATAGACACTAAATGAATCCAAAGAGACACTAAAGGACTACAAAGATACACCAAAGGACTACAAAGAGACACTAAAGGACTACAAAGAGACAATAAATGAATTCAAAGAGACACTAAATGAATTCAAAGAGACACTAAATGAATTCCAAGAGACACTAAAGGACTACAAAGACACACACAACGACTACAAAGAGACACTAAAGGACTACAAAGAGACACTAAAGGACTACAAAGAGACACCAAAGGACTACAAAGAGACACTAAATTAATTCAAAGAGACACTAAAGGACTACAAAGAGACACTAAAGGACTACAAAGAGACACTAAAGGACTACAAAGAGACACCAAAGGACTACAAAGAGACACTAAATTAATTCAAAGAGACACTAAAGGACTACAAAGAGACACTAAATGACTACAAAGAGACACAAAACGACTACAAAGAGACACTAAAGGACTACAAAGAGACAATAAATGAATTCAAAGAGACACTAAATGAATTCAAAGAGACACTAAATGAATTCCAAGAGACACTAAAGGACTACAAAGACACACACAACGACTACAAAGAGACACTAAAGGACTACAAAGAGACACCAAAGGACTACAAAGAGACACTAAATTAATTCAAAGAGACACTAAAGGACTACAAAGAGACACTAAAGGACTACAAAGAGACACCAAAGGACTACAAAGAGACACTAAATTAATTCAAAGAGACACTAAAGGACTACAAAGAGACACCAAAGGACTACAAAGAGACAATAAATGAATTCAAAGAGACACTAAATGAATTCCAAGAGACACTAAATGAATTCCAAGAGACACTAAAGGACTGCAAAGAGACACAAAACGACTACAAAGAGACACAAAAGGACTACGAAGAGACACAAAAGGACTACAAATAGACACTAAATGAATTCAAAGAGACACTAAAGGACTACAAAGAGACACAAAAGGACTACAAAGAGACACAAAACGACTACAAAGAGACACCAAAGGACTGCAAAGAGACACAAAACGACTACGAAGAGACACAAAATGACTACAAAGAGACACAAAAGGACTACAAAGAGACACAAAAGGACTACAAAGAGACACAAAACGACTACAAAGAGACACAAAAGGACTACAAAGAGACACAAAACGACTACAAAGATACACCAAAGGACTACAAAGAGACACAAAAGGATTACAAATAGACACTAAATGAATCCAAAGAGACACTAAAGGACTACAAAGATACACCAAAGGACTACAAAGAGACACTAAAGGACTACAAAGAGACAATAAATGAATTCAAAGAGACACTAAATGAATTCAAAGAGACACTAAATGAATTCCAAGAGACACTAAAGGACTACAAAGACACACACAACGACTACAAAGAGACACTAAAGGACTACAAAGAGACACTAAAGGACTACAAAGAGACACCAAAGGACTACAAAGAGACACTAAATTAATTCAAAGAGACACTAAAGGACTACAAAGAGACACTAAAGGACTACAAAGAGACACTAAAGGACTACAAAGAGACACCAAAGGACTACAAAGAGACACTAAATTAATTCAAAGAGACACTAAAGGACTACAAAGAGACACTAAATGACTACAAAGAGACACAAAACGACTACAAAGAGACACTAAAGGACTACAAAGAGACAATAAATGAATTCAAAGAGACACTAAATGAATTCAAAGAGACACTAAATGAATTCCAAGAGACACTAAAGGACTACAAAGACACACACAACGACTACAAAGAGACACTAAAGGACTACAAAGAGACACCAAAGGACTACAAAGAGACACTAAATTAATTCAAAGAGACACTAAAGGACTACAAAGAGACACTAAAGGACTACAAAGAGACACTAAAGGACTACAAAGAGACACCAAAGGACTACAAAGAGACACTAAATTAATTCAAAGAGACACTAAAGGACTACAAAGAGACACTAAAGGACTACAAAGAGACACAAAACGACTACAAAGAGACACTAAAGGACTACAAAGAGACACTAAAGGACTACAAAGAGACACTAAATTAATTCAAAGAGACACTAAAGGACTACAAAGAGACACTAAAGGACTACAAAGAGACACCAAAGGACTACAAAGAGACACTAAATTAATTCAGACACTAAAGGACTACAAAGAGACACTAAAGGACTACAAAGAGACACTAAATTAATTCAAAGAGACACTAAATTAATTCAAAGAGACACTAAATGACTACAAAGAGACACAAAAGGACTATAAAGAGACACTAAAGGACTACAAAGAGACACTAAATGAATTCAGAGACACTAAAGGACTACAAAGAGACACTAAAGGACTACAAAGAGACACACAAGGACTACAAAGAGACACTAAATGAATTCAGAGACACTAAAGGACTACAAAGAGACACTAAAGGACTACAAAGAGACACTAAATGAATTCAAAGAGACACTAAAGGACTACAAAGAGACACCAAAGGACTACAAAGAGACACTAAAGGACTACAAAGAGACACTAAATGAATTCAGAGACACCAAAGGACTACAAAGACACACAAAACGACTACAAAGAGACACAAAACGACTACAAAGAGACACTAAAGGACTACAAAGAGACACTAAAGGACTACAAAGAGACACTAAAGGACTACAAAGACACAAAACGACTACAAAGAGACACTAAAGGACTACAAAGAGACACTAAAGGACTACAAATACACAAAACGACTACAAAGAGACACCAAAGGACTACAAAGAGACACTAAAGGACTACAAAGACACAAAACGACTACAAAGAGACACTAAATGAATTCAAAGAGACACTAAAGGACTACAAAGAGACACTAAATGAATTCAAAGAGACACCAAAGGACTACAAAGAGACACCAAAGGACTACAAAGAGACACCAAAGGACTACAAAGAGACACTAAAGGACTACAAAGATACACTAAAGGACTACAAAGAGACACTAAAGGACTACAAAGAGACACTAAAGGACTACAAAGAGACACTAAAGGACTACAAAGAGACACTAAAGGACTACAAAGAGACACTAAAGGACTACAAAGAGACACTAAAGGACTACAAAGAGACACTAAAGGACTACAAAGAGACACTAAAGGACTACAAAGAGACACTAAAGGACTACAAAGAGACACTAAAGGACTACAAAGAGACACTAAAGGACTACAAATAGACACCAAAGGACTACAAAGAGACACAAAGGTACACCAAAGGACTACAAATGGATACAAAGAGACAAACAATGAGGACACGGAGGCGTGGACTTGTTGTTCTACTTCTCACGATTTGCATTCTCCGCAGCTTCAACACAATTAATCTTCCTGTGTGTGTGTAATACAGGCTTACTGACTGTGTGTGTTCTCCACACAGTGTGACAGTATCACAATGAGGCACGCCCTGCTCCTCCTACTGGCAGGTAAGTGGTACTGCTGCACCTTAACAATAAATACAGTACATTTAGTAGTATTTAATACCTTTAGTTACTTTACAGATCTGGATTAATGATGTGACAATCATTAAATCAAGCTTTAGTTCCACCTGGAGTAAATTCACAAGCTACCCTGCATTATACAAAGTCATTCAAACTAGCTGCACCTTTACCAGCTTCGAGAACACTTTCATGATCAATCATTATAAAACATATCATATATTATTCTGAAATGGGCCAATCTGCACAATGACTTTTACTGTCGCTACTTTCACTATATTTTGATGAGAATACTTTTCTATTTTTACTTGAGGAACATTTTGAATGCTGGACTTTTACTTTAACAGAGTATTCCTACTCTGCATACTTCTACTTTTACTCAAGTACAATATCTGAGTACTTCTACTTTTACTCAATTACAAGATCGCAGTACTTCTACTTTTACTCAAGTACAAGATCTGAGTACTTCTACTTTTACTCAAGTACTAGATTGCAGTACTTCTCCCAACTCTGTGACAAACACATAATAAAATCAAATGAAAAACACAAGATCATTTAAAAAATAAAAAAAAATCAATTCAATAGTTATGTTCATGTATTCATACATATAATACAAATAAATGATAAAAAATAAGTATAAATAACCAACATTAGCATAAGTTACTTCTATTTAAATCAGTTCAGCGCAGAATTTGCTTATTTTAGGTTCATAGCGGTAATTAAACCAGAATATTAGACCGACAGTAGCTTCTTGGAATCAGCTCTAATCCATATTTTCCTCTAATTTCAATTTAGTTGCTGCCAGCCAGGTGGACCTTTCTCTGTCTGCCACCACGCAATCTGTGACAAACAATGCTGCACCGACAACTGCTGCACGAACTGATAAACCAAATACTTTTGCACCAACTGATGCGCCCACAGACGCACCAACTTTTGCACCCACTAACTTACCAACTAATCCATCAACTGGGTCCCCAAGTGCTGCTCCAACAACTGCAGCTCCAACAATTGCAGCTCCAACAATTGCAGCCCCAACTACTGCAGCCCCAACTACAGCTGCTCCCACAACTGTGGCCCCAACTACTGCTGCTCCAACAACTGCGGCCCCAACTACTGCAGCCCCAACTACAGCTGCTCCCACAACTGTGGCCCCAACTACAGCTGCTCCCACTACAGCTGCTCCAACAACTGCAGCCCCAACTGCTGCAGCCCCAACTACAGCTGCTCCCACAACTGTGGCCCCAACTACAGCTGCTCCCACTATAGCTGCTCCAACAACTGCAGCCCCAACTACTGCTGCTCCAACTACAGCTGCTCCAACTACTGCTGCCCCAACTACTGCCGCTCCAACAACTGCTGCCCCAACTACAGCTGCTCCAACTACTGCTGCTCCAACTACTGCTGCTCCAACTACAGCTGCTCCAACTACTGCCGCTCCAACTACTGCAGCCCCAACTACTGCTGCTCAAACTACTGCTGCTCCCAGTACAGCAGCCCCAACAACTACATTCTCAACTACTGCCGCTCCAACTACAGCCGCTCCAACAACTGCTGCTCCAACTACTGCCGCTCCAACTACTGCCGCTCCAACTACAGCTGCTTCCAATACAACCGCTCAGACAACTGCAGTCCCAACTACTGCAGCCCAAACTACAACTGCTCCAACTACTGCTGCTCCAACAACTGCAGCCCCAACTCCAGTTGCTCCTACAACTGCTGCTCCAACAACTGTGGCCCCAACTACTGCTGCTCCAATTACAGCTGCTCCCACAACTGTGGCCCCAACTACTGCTGCTCTCACAACAGCCGCCCCAACTACTGCTGCTCGAACTACAGCTGCTCCCACAACTGTGGCCCCAACTACAACTGCTCCCACAACTGTGGCCCCAACTACTGCTACTCCAACTACTGCAGCCCAAACTACAGCCGCTCCAACAACTGCACCCCCAACTACAGTTGCTCCTACAACTGCTGCTCCAACAACTGTGGCCCCAACTACAGCTGCTCCCACTACAGCCGCTCCAACAACTGCACCCCCAACTACTGCTGCTCCAACTACTGCTGCTCCAACTACAGCTGCTCCAACTACTGCAGCCCCAACTACTGCTGCTCCAACTACTGCTGCTCCAACTACAGCTGCTCCAACTACTGCTGCTCCAACTACAGCTGCTCCAACAACTGCAGCCCCAACTACTGCTGCTCCAACAACTGCTGCCCCAACTACAGCTGCTCCAACTAATGCAGACCCAACAACTGCAGCCCCAACTCCAGTTGCTCCTACAACTGCTGCTCCAACAACTGTGGCCCCAACTACTGCCGCTCCAACTACAGCTGCTTCCACTACAGCCGCTCAGACAACTGCAGTCCCAACTACTACTGCCCCAACTACAGCTGCTCCCACAACTGTGGCCCCAACTACTGCTGCTCCAACAACAACCGCCCCAACTACTGCTACTCCAACTACTGCAGCCCAAACTACAGCTGCTCCCACTACAGCTGCTCCCACTACAGTTGCTTCTACAACTGCTGCTCCAACAACTGTGGCCCCAACTACTGCCGTTCCCACTACAGCCTCTCCAACTACTGCTGCCCCTACAACTTCTGCTCCAGCAACTGCAGCCCCAACTACAGCTGCTTCCACTACAGCCGCTCAGACAACTGCAGCCCCAACTACTGCAGCTCAAACTACAGCTGCTCCCACAACTGTGGCCCCAACTACTACTGCTCCAACTACAGCTGCTCCCACAACAGCCGCCCCAACTACAGCTGCTTCCACTACAGCCGCTCAGACAACTGCAGCCCCAACTACTGCAGCTCAAACTACAGCTGCTCCCACAACTGTGGCCCCAACTACAGCTGCTCCCACTACAGCTGCTCCAACAACTGCAGCCCCAACTACAGTTGCTCCTACAACTGCTGCTCCCACAACAGCCGCCCCAACTACTGCTGCTCCAACTACTGCATCCCAAACTACAGCTGCTCCAACTACTACTGCTCCAACTACAGCTGTTCCCACAACTGTGGCCCCAACTACTGCTGCTCCAACTACTGCAGCCCAAACTACAGCTGCTCCAGCAACCATGGCCCCAACTACTGCAGCCCAAACTACAGCTGCTCCAACAACTGCTGTCCCCAACTACTGCTGCTTCCACAACAGCCACCCCAACTACTGCAGATCGAACTACAGCTGCTCCCACAACTGTGGCCCCAACTACTGCTGCTCACACAACTGTAGCCCCAACTACTGCTGCTACCACAACAGCCGCCCCAACTACTGCCGCTCCAGCAACTGAAGCCCCAACTACAGCTGCTTCCGCTACAGCCGCTCAGACAACTGCAGCCCCAACTACTACTGCCCCAACTACAGCTGCTCCCACAACTGTGGCCCCAACTACTGCTGCTCACACAACAGCAGCCCCAACTACTGCTGCTACCACAACAGCCGCCCCAACTACTGCCGCTCCAGCAACTGAAGCCCCAACTACAGCTGCTTCCGCTACAGCCGCTCAGACAACTGCAGCCCCAACTACTACTGCCCCAACTACAGCTGCTCCCACAACAGCCGCCCCAACTACTGCTACTCCAACTACTGCAGCCCAAACTACAGCTGCTCCAACTACTGCTGCTCCCACTACAGCTGCTCCCACTACAGCCGCTCCAACAACTGCAGCCCCAACTACAGTTGCTCCTACAACTGCTGCTCCCACAACTGTGGCCCCAACTACTACTGCTCCAACTACAGCTGCTCCCACAACTGTGGCCCCAACTACTGCTGCTCCCACAACAGCCGCCCCAACTACTGCTACTCCAACTACTGCAGCCCAAACTACAGCTGCTCCAACTACAGCTGCTCCCACTACAGCCGCTCCAACAACTGCAGCCCCAACTACAGTTGCTCCTACAACTGCTGCTCCCACAACAGCCGCCCCAACTACTGCCGCTCCAACAACTGCCGTTCCCACAACAGCCTCTCCAACTACTGCTGCCCTTACAACTTCTGCTCCAGCAACTGCAGCCCCAACTACAGCTGCTTCCACTACAGCCGCTCAGACAACTGCAGTCCCAACTACTACTGCTCCAACTACAGCTGCTCCCACAACTGTGGCCCCAACTACTGCTGCTCCCACAACAGCCGCCCCAACTACAGCTGCTCCAACTACTGCTGCTCCCACTACAGCCGCTCCAACAACTGCAGTCCCAACTACAGTTGCTCCTACAACTGCTGCTCCAACAACTTTGGCCCCAATTACAGCTGCTCCCACAACTGTGACCCCAACTACTACTGCTCCAACTACAGCTGCTCCCAC